AAAGGGGGGAGGGAGGGAAGGAGGAAAAAGGAAAAGGAAAAGAAGGAAAGAAGGAGTAAGAGAGGAAGGAAGGGAGGGAGGTAAGGAGGGAGGAAGGCAGGAAGAGAGGGAAAAAGGAAGGAAGGAAGGGCCACATCTGGCTGGGTGTGGAGGCTCTCATGTGTATTCCCATTGCTTTGGGAGGTGGAGGCAGGATGATTTCTTTGAGCCCAGGAGTTTAAGACCAGCCTGGGCAACATAGTGAGACCCCTTCTCTTCCAGAAAGATAGGAAAATTAGCCAGGTGTAGTGGTGCATGCCTGTAGTCCCAGCTAGTCAGGAGGCTGAGGTGGGAGGATCATTGGAGGCCCGGGGGTCAAGGCTGCCATGAGCTATAAGTGTACCACTGCACTCCAGCCTCGGCAACAGAGCAAGACCCTGAAAAAAGAAGGAAAGAGAAGATTGGACAGAAAGAAAGAAAAAGAAACTAAGGAAGGAAGGGAGGAAAGGAAAGGAAAGAAAGGAAGAAAGAAAGAGAAAGAAAGGAAAGGAAAAGAAAAGAAAGAGAAAGCCATATTCCCCAGCCTTAGCCTCTACTTGACATGTCCAAGTTCTCAGAATCACCCTGGTAGAAAGCCAGAGGCCACGTTTTCTAAGAACTCGGATTCCTGGGGTGAAGTCTTCTCCTAAATCAGAAGCCAAGGGTCTGGGGCTGCTTCCCACCCTCCATTCCTCTGCCTCCCTGCTCCTTCTGTCTCCTCTAGTGATGTCAGCAGGACTGAACGGGCCACCCCCATGTGGCTTTCTCTAAGGGACAACACCCTCACCTCAAACCTAGGCTCCTCTCCCTCATTTTGCACAGAACCCAGCCCTACCTAGGCCTCCACATGCCTCTCTCCCTCATTTTCCTCCCTCCAAGACCCACCCTCCTCCACCATGATCATGTAGACCTTCACATCTCAAAAATAAATAATTCTGGGCTGGGCAGGGTGCCTCATGCCTATAATCCCAGCACTTTGGGAGGCCGAGGCGGGTGGATCACTTGACGTCAGGAGTTTGAGACCACTGTGGGCAACATGGCAAAACCCTGTCTCTACTAAAAATACAAAAATTAGCTAGGTGAGGCTAATCCCATCTACTCAGGAGGCTGAGGCAGGAGAATTGCTTGAACCCAGGTGGCAGAGACTGCAGTGAGCAGAGATCATGCCACTGTATTCCAGCCTGGGTGGCAGAGCAAGACTCTGTCTCAACAAAAAACCAAAATAAAAATAAATAATTTTGGCCAGATGCCGTGGCTCATGCCTGTAAACCCCACCACTCTGGGAGGCCAAGGCGGGAGGATCGCTGGAGGCCAGGAGTTTGAGATCAGCCTGGGCAACACAGTGAGACCCCCCTCATCTCTACAAAAACAAAAAAAAATAAAATTTAGCTCTCATGGTGATGTGTATCTGTAGTCCCAGTACCCAGGAGGCTGGGGCAGGAGGTCCAGGAGGTTGAGGCTGCAGTGACCTCTGATCCCACCACTTCACTCCAGCCTGGGCAACAGAGCAAGACCCTGTCTCAAATAAACAAATACATACATTTATTTAATCTTCTTGTTTGAAGACAACTCAAAACTGAGCAATTTAAAAGACACAGTCCGGAGCAATATCTGAGGAGAAAGCAAGACATCCGTGTATGAGAGGAGAGGAGACTCCAGGCCTCAGCGTTCCAGGCTGCGGGGTCTGTTCTTACCTGCGTCCACCAGCCTGGCCAGTCCGTCTCCCTCCTGGCTCTGCGTTTTCTCTCTAGAAGGAGTCGGGAAACAGACATGGGTCCCCGAGTAGCCCTTTAGGGCCCAGCTGCTCCCCATTTGCACACCCTACCCGCCCTTCGTCTCCCCTTCCCAGAGCTCACCTGTTCCTCCTTGTTCTGTAAATGCTCTCTCTGGTCACTGCTGGTACTACAACCACCACAGGCACCAGCAGTGTCAATAGGACGGCCACCAGGTTAGATGCTTCTGGGTGCAGGGAAGAGACGCAGGGATGTGAGACAGGAAGGGTGGGGACTCAAGGCACTCCCTTTTGGACATCGCTTGCTACCCCAAGGGACCTCCTCTCTCAAAATCTCGAGGTGTGTCCGCTTCTCCCTCCAGGAGGCTCTCACCTCCAGGGACTCCAACGCCTTAGTGCCACCCCACCTCTTGCAATGTTTTCTGTTTCCCATACGCCTTTTTAGACAGGGTCTGGCTCTGTTGCCCAGGCTAGAGTGCAGTGGTGTGATCATAACTCTCTGCAGACTTGAACTCCTGGGCTCAAGTGATCTTCCCGCCTCAGCCTCCCTTCCAGGTTGCTGGGACTATAGAGACTGGGTGTGAACCCAGTTAATTTTTGTGATTTTTTTTGGCGGGGGGAGATGGAGTCTCACTAGGTCGCCTAGGCTGGAGTGCAGTGGCGCAATGTTGGCTCACTGCAATCTCCATCTCTCAGGTTCAAGCGATTCTTCTGTCTCAGCCTGCAGAGTAGCTGGGATTACAGGTGTGCACCACCACGCCCAGCTAAATTTTGTATTTTTAGTAGAGACGGGGTTTCACCATATTGATCAGGCTGTTGAACTCCTGACCTCAGGTGATCCGCCCACCTCGGCCTCCCAGAATGCTGAGATTACAGGCAGGAGCCACTGCGCCTAGCCAGGACTGGTTTTTTTGAGGATGCATGTCCTGCTAATTTCTAGGGATTATAACATGATTTCTACTATAATAATATAATATTGTAAACAGTGCTGCAATGAACTGGAACCAACCCAAATGCCCATCAACGATAGAATGGATAGGGAAAATGTGGCACACATACACCATAGAATATTATGCAGCCATCAAAAACGATGAGTTTGGGTCCTTTGTAGGGACATGGATGAACCTGGAAACCATCATTCTCAGCAAACTGACAGAAGAGCAGAAGATCAAACACCGCATGTTCTCACTCATAGGCGGGTGTTGAACAATGAGAACACATGGACACAGGGAGGGGAGCACTACACACTGGGGTCAGTTGGGGGGAAATAGGGGAAGGACGGTGGGGGGTGGGGAGCTGGGGAGAGATAGCAAGGGGAGAAATGCCAGATGTAGGTGATGGGGAGGAAGGCAGCAAATCACACTGCCACGTGTGTACCTATGCAACAATCTTGCATGTTCTTCACATGTACCCCAAAACCTAAAATGCAATAAAATAAATAAATGGGGAAAAAAAAGAACTTTCTCCAAAAGACTCCCCCAAAAATAAAAATAATAAAATATATAAACATTTATTAATATATAACATATTAATATATTAATAACATACTGTCCATTATATCTATGAATTGATATTATGTTTATAACACATATCCATAACATATATTAATATATATCTATAAAATGTATAATATATAATTATGTTACATAATATATAACATTAATATAGCTACATAATAATATATAATATCTGTAACATATAATAGATATCATTCTATATGTGAATATAATACACATAGAATCATTCTGTGGTGGCTGTCGGCCTGGCTGACAGGTTGACAGGCTGTGAGGGTACAGGGCGTTGGATGATGCCCTCACCTGGTTTTCTGGGAGGTGGCACATCTCGAGGCTCTGTACAGAGGTCTCCTCCGTAACCAACCTCACACTTGCAGGTGAAGGTGGCTCCCTGCTCCTGACACTGCCCGTCGTTCTGACAGGGGTTCTGCAGACAGGGGCTTTCTGCAGGACAGAGAGGGTTGTGGGAGGGGCCCTGAGAGGACACTCCCAGCTCAGGGGAGGACTGAACTGAGGGCTGGGATGCCAGGGGAGAAAGCAGCAGCTGCCAGAGACTGGCCAGGAGCCAGCCAGCCTGGCTCCCAACCCTGCCTCACTACCCCTGGGTTTTGGGGAAACTTCTTTCCTTCAAAACCCCTTCCTCCCTCCCTCCCTTCCTTCCTCCCTTCCTCTGGCCTTCTCCCCTCCTCTCCTCTCCCTTCCCCTCCCTTCCTTCCTTTCCTCTCCTCCCCTCCACTCCCCTCCTCCTTTCTCCTCTCTCTCTCTTTTTTTTTTGACAGGGAGTTTCACTCTTGTTGCCCAGGCTGGAGTGCAATGGCGGGATCTTGGCTCACCACAACCTCCGCCTCCCAGGGTCAAACAATTCTCCTGTCTCAGCCTCCCAAGCAGCTGAGTAGCTGGGATTACAGGCATGCACCACCATGCCCAGCTAATTTTGTATTTTTAGTAGAGACAGGGTTCACCATGTTGGTCAGGCTGGTCTCGAACTCCTGACCTTGTGATCCACCTGCCTCAGCCTCCCAAAGTACTGGGATTACAGGCGTTAGCCACCTTGCCCAACATCTTCTCCTTTTTTTTTGAGATAGGATCTCACTCTGTCGTCAGGCAGTGGCACAATTATGGCTCACTGTAGCCTCAATCTCTTGGGCTCAAGTGATTTTCCCACCTCAGCCTCCCAAGTAGTTGAGACTACAGGTATGCACCATCACACCCAGCTTTTTTTTTTCTTTAATTTTTAGTAGAGACAATGTTTCCCACTGTTGACCAGACTGATCTTGAACTCCTGAGCTCAAAGTAATTCTCCCACCTCGCCTCCCAAAATGCCAGGATTACAGGCATGAGTCCCCTGCACCCGGCAGGACACGGTTGAACCTCGCTGCACTCCATGTTTGTTACATATAAAATAGGAGTGCTGTGCTAACCACCAGGACTGAAGTGAGGACTCAAGGAGGAACAGGGAGGAAGGCTAGGAAAGGATCCAGCAGCTCATGGATGCTCAGGACACGGGAGATCTTTGTCCTTTGTCCCTCTCCACAAAGGCAGGGACAGACATCCTGAAATCAATGTGGAAGAGTCCCAAGGACAGAGAGGGGACGATCCTTGGTGCATGGATGCCCCAGGGTGTGGGGCACCTTGGAAGCAAGCATGGGTGCAGGTTTACCTGGGAAGCAGCCTCGGGTGTGGTTCCCCAGAGTGCAGACCTCCCCCTCTCTGCAGCTGAAGGGTTCGCACAGCAGGATCCTCGAGCTGGCGCAGGTGCAGCGCTGAGAGCAGTCCTCAGTCACAAAGATGTCGCCCAGCTAGAAAAGGGAAGGGCCAGGAGGAGACGCTCCGGTTCCATCCCTGGTCTGGCTCCCTTTGGCACCTCTGCTCCCTGGGGCCTCCCACTGCCAGCCCAGACCTGGTAGTAGATGCCATTGCTGGTGCAGCCACAGTCAGCCAGCGGGAGGCTCTGGGTGCCGCTGTAGGCGTAGCCTGGAATGCTGGCGCAGCCTTCCACGCAGGGGCCCTCGCAGTCCCCAGGGTCCGTCAGGTGGGCACAGGATGCTGGGCAGGGTGTCATACAGCTCTGATACATGGTACCTGCTGGGCACTCCATGGCTGGGGGGAGAGTCACGGTCAGAAGCTGGCTGCGACTGGGCAGGCCAAACAGGGGCAAGGTCACCCAATAAAACTCAGAGATGCTTACAGGCGGAAGCCAAAACACGTCACGGCTTCATCTAGGGTCTTTTTTCCCTTTTTTTTTTTTTTTTTTTTTAGAGATGGAGTCTCGCTCTGTTGCCCAGGCTGGAGTGCAGTGGTGTGATCACAGCTCACTGCAGCCTTCAACTCCTGAGTTCCAGTGATCCTCCCACCTCAGCCTCCCCAGTGACTGGAGCTACAGGCATGCACCACCACACCCAGCTAGTTTGTTTGAAATTTTTATAGAGATGGGGTCTCACTATGTTGCCCGGGCTGGTCTCAAACTCTTGGCTTCAACTGATGCTCCTGCCTCAGCCTCCCTAAGCGGTGGGACTACAGGTGTGAGCTACCACACCCAGCCTGTCTCGTCTTTTCTTCTTTCTTTTCTTTTTCTCTTCTTCTTTTTCACTTTCTTTCTTTTTCTCTTTCTTTCTCTCTCTTTCTTTCCTTTCTCTCTCTCTCTCTTTTTTTTTAACGGAGTCTCACTCTGTCACCCGGACTGGAGTGCAGTGGTGCAATCTCGGCTCACTGCAACATCCACTTCCCGGGTTCAGGCAATTCACCTGCCTCAGTCCTCGAGTAGCTGGGACTACAGGCGTCTGCCACTACGTCCAGCTAATTTTTTGTATTTTTAGTAGAGAGTAGGTTTCACTATGTTGGCAAGGCTGGTCTCAAACTCCCGACCTTGTGGTTTGCCCACCTCAGCCTCCCTAAGTGCTGGGATTACAGGTGTGAGCCACCGTGCCTGGCCTTTTTTTTTGAGACAGGATGTTGCTCTGCTGCCCAGGAGTGCAGTGGTGCAGTCATGGCTCACTGCAGCCTCGAACTCCTGGGCTCAAGCCATCCTTCAGCCTCAGCCTCCCAAAGCACTGGGATTACAGGTGTGAGCCACCATGCCCAGCCTATCCAGGGTCTTTTTGTCTGCAATGTTAGAGCATTTGAAGGAACTGGCTGAGCAAAGGTGGACCCTGGCAGGAAGAAGCGGGATGGGGGATGGGGTCAGGAGGCTCCCAGGTAGGGTCAGAGAAGGAGTCAGGCTGCAGGTTGTACTGACTTGGACATGGGACTAAGCAAGTTGAGGGAGGCTGGGACTAAGAGCTGGAGATGAGGCAATGGTGGGAAGAGAGTTCAGCAGAGGTGGACGGCAGAGGGGAGGGGCAGTGCCTCACCGCAGAGGGTATGGTCCCGCCAGCTGGCCAGCACAGCGCCTGCCTCCTGGCAGAGGATGGCGTACCCGCTGAGGACCTCACAACGCAGCTCTTCTTGCTCTCTGGGGTCCTGGGCAGAGCACAGATCCAGCACACAGTGCCTGGGGTGGAGAGGGGACAGAAAGAGCACAGTCAGGTTTGGGGAGGCTAGGAGACCCACCCCTGCAAAAGAGAGCCTGGAACCCCAAACAGAAAGACATCAGTCAGTGTCCAGGGAGGGTCACAAGGAAAATGAGGCCACAGGGAGAACGGAGGAGTGAACCAGACAGAGCTTGGGTCAGGAAGCTGGCAGGAGGCCCGAGGGAAAGATCAGAGCAGGCACCTGGGCCATTCCCGAAAGTCCTGGGCCCATGACTCACTCCTGGAAGGGCTCTGGGGCCACCGTCTGGTGACAGGCAGCAAAGGGGCCTTGGGGGTCCGCCAGCACCCTACAGGCCTGGGTGCTGTTGCTCGCCAGCTGCTCCGGGCTGCATTCAGACACACGGAGGCCCAATTCGGCCCCTCGTCCCTCCTCCTCCGCTGGTACAGCCCTGCAGCAGAGACAGCCGTGGGGTCAGGTGAGGCCACAATGTAGGTGAAGTGAGGGAAGAAGAACAACTGATTAGCTGGGCGTGGTGGTGTCTGCCTGTAGTCCCAGCTACTCGGGAGGCTGCGGCAGCCGGATGACTTTAGCTCAGGAGACAGAGGCTGCAGTGAGCCGAGGTCACGCCACTGCACTCTAGCTTGGGCAACAGAGGAAGACCTTGTCTCTAAAAAAGATTTTTCTAAAAAAGAAAAGAACAATTGGGGCTCAAACCTGTAATTCCAGCACTTTGGGAGGCCGAAGCTGAGGTGGGTGGATCCCTTGAGGTCAGGAGTTCGAGACCAGTCTGACCAAGATGGTGAAACCCCATCTCTACTAAAAATATAAAAATTAGCCAGGCATGGTGGTGGGCGCCTGTAGTCCCAGATACTCGGGAGGCTGAGGCAGCACTTGAAACTGGGAGGCAGAGGTTGCAGTGAGCTGGGATCACACCACTGCACTCCAGCCTGGGAGACAGAGCAAGACTCTGTCTCTAAAAAAGATTTTTAGAAAAAGAAGAACTGGGAAGGCAGGCTGAGGGTAGGGTGGGGGCACAGACTGGGCTTTCCACTGAGCGGGTGCCCCCACAGTCAGGTGAGAGGGAATGACAGAATCGGGAGGACGCAGGTCTCTCTGCACCGTATCCCTGGAGTTTCATCCTCTGCTGAGGACAGGAGGGCCGGCGGCCACTGGGCGCAGAGTTGTTCATCTCCAGCCTCATCCCTTCCAGGCCACGCACCTGGGAAATCGGAGGAGGGCGTCCTCGGTCTTCACCTCCCAGCTGTTGCCGAAGGTGTTGAGGTTCTGGGTCAGGGCACCAGTGGGCAGCATCATCTCATTCTTGCGGTTCTCATCGTAGTTCCCACACAGGCCACGCACAAGCCCCCTGTAGAAGCTGGGTAGGGAGATCACTGTGGGAGGAAGGGGACCCCCAAAAGTGAGACTCCTCGCTCTTTTTTTTTTTTTTTTTT